GCGGGGGGCCCTTCTCCCCGCCATGCGCGGCCGCTGAGTCTCAGCCGCGGCGGGCGCGTTGCAGTTTATTTCCGCCGCCCTTTTTTTTTTTGTTGGTTTCTTTTTCTTTTTCCTTTTTTAATTACTTTTTTCCCCCGTTAGTCAACCCCGCGCGCGCTGCTGCGGCCCGCGGGCCGGCCATGGGCGCGGCGGCGGCGCGCGGGCGCTGAGCGGCGCTGCGCGGCGCGGGGCCGCCATGGCCGCCAAGGACAACCCGTGCAGGAAGTTCCAGGCCAACATCTTCAACAAGAGCAAGTGCCAGAACTGCTTCAAGCCCCGCGAGTCCCACCTGCTCAACGACGAGGACCTCAACCAGGTAGGGAGCCCCCTTTCCCTCCGCCAAGCTCCCCCTGAGCCCCTCCTGCACCCCCAGTTTGGTGCCCCCCTTCTTTCCAGTGTTTGGCCCCGGTCTGCTGCTCCCCAGGCTCCTGCTGGCCCCGTTAGCAGGGTTGGAGCCCAAGGTGCTGGTTGATCCCATGGATTTGATGGGGTTCTGTGGGATGTGTGTGGTCCTGTGGGTGCTGGATGGCTCGTGGATCCCATGGGGTGTCCGTGGATCCCATGGGGTGTCCGTGGATCCCATGGGGTGTCCGTGGATCCCATGGGGTGTCCGTGGATCCCATGGGTTCCTGCTGACCCCGTGGATAGCGTGGTGTCCCCTGCGGTGTCCTGTGGTGCCTGCTGGCCCCTGAGGCCCTGTGGTGTTGTCAGGAGGGCACCAGGCACCCATGGATAGCGTGGGGTCCCATGGGAYGTCCAGTGGTCCCGTGGGTGTCTGCTGGCCCCGTGGATGGCGTGAGGTCCATTGGGATCTGCAGTGATCCCTTGGGTGCTCATTAACCTGGTGGATAATGGGAGGCTCGTTGCAAAGTGTGAGGTCCCGTGGGTGTCTTGTAGCCCTGTGTGGCTACTGTCAGGTCCCATGGCGTGTCCAGTGTCCCTATGGATAGCATGGGGTCCCAGGGGTGCCCTCAGGCCCCATGGAGGGCCCCAGGGATATCTGCAGGTCCTGTAGGACAGCCAGTGTCCCAGTGGATAACCAGTGTCCCTATGGGATGTGCAGTGAYCTTTTGGGTGCTCACCCACCCATCCGTGGGCCCCATCCAAGTAGCTTGTTTCCTGAAGGACCCGGAGCTTCAGCCGCTTCCTGAGATGTTTTGGGGAGCAGCGCCCCTGGGGAGCACCCACACGCGGTGRGGGGCAGCATGGGGCTGCAGCGGGTGCTGCTCCCACAGGGAAGGGGCTTCCCATGGCCCCGTTGAGAGGGAGATGCCCAAAGTCCCGGGAAGAACTTGGCTTCCAGAACACCCCAATCCTTCTGGAAGGCCTCCGGCTCTCCCTGGCTTTCCCACGGCCGGAACAGGGGGATGCGGGGAGGCGCCTGCCGCCCTTCCCGGGGTGCCGACCCCAACGCAGGGGGTCTGTGACTGTGCCGGGACTAGGCCTTCCTCCTCCTCCTCTTCCTCCCAGGCCTTTCCAKCCCCTCCCTCAGGCCAGGGAGGCCCAGTGCAAATGCAGCTGGGAATTGCACCCTGTAATATATATAKAGAGAGATWGATATATATAGATATATACATGTATGTGTGTGTATATATATTTTTCTTTTTGTTYTGGGGGGTCGTCAGCGCCCGCGGGCCGGGGGGAGCAGCGCCGCGCTCCCTCCTCTCGCACCTTTCGGCGCTGGATCTGACATCTCTCCTTGCAATCCTATTATGGAAATGGGATCAGACATATTGCTGCGCGCGTTGAGGCGGCGGGGGGGGGGGACACACGACATAATGAAATCCGAAGGCTAATATGGAAAAAATGTAACTGGAAAAAATGCCTTGGTGTATGCGGGAAGGGGAGGGGAGGGCAGGGGGAGTGTCAGCGCGCAGCGCCCAGACAAAGGAGCCATCCCAGAGGACGTTTGGGAAGAGCCCCCCTCTCCCGGCTTTCCCACAGCCCCGGCAATGCCCTGCCTGGAGTTTCAGCTCCTCGGTGGGGGGAAAAGTTGATCCGTGCTCCGTCCCGCTGTGGTGCTGGTCCCTGCATCCATCCCTGGGATGCGGGGGGGGGTGTGTGTGTGTCCCCCCGCAACGCCTGCCGGGAATGGGGCCTTGTCCGGCCGGAGAAGGGCTCTCCTCGGCTTTGTTTTCCCCTCTGCTCCTGCTTCCCTGCAGCTTTCCGTGCRGGAAGGGGCCTGGGATGAGCTCGGCCCCAGGTCTGGGCACCGCGTGGCCTTCGCTGGCTGGGGATCCAGGATGTTCCAGGGAGCGTGTGAGGGGAATCAGCGCTTTCGTCCTTGGCTCCGTGTTTGCAGCCCGGGCTCAGTAATCTCRCTTTAAGATAAGATGGTGGCTTTAGGCGAGTGTGTAATACGTATATAAATAGGTGTCTCTATGCGCCCTCCTGCACGGAGCTTGCTCCTGGAGCTCCCCTGGCCTTATATCCGTGCTCCGAGCCCCCCTYGTGCCGCGGGACCCCATTAAATGGATGCGACCAGCCTGGTGCAGCAAACTTTGTTGCTCCTAATTAACACTGCTCGTTGTGGTYGGCGGCAGCTCCGCGCCGGGGCTCAGAGCCGACGCTCCATGGGGTGCGTGCTCAGCACCGAAGTGTTCCCGTGATAACAGGTCGGATGATGTCCCTCCTCTTAGGTTAACTTTATAAAGCCTGGCTTGGTTGTGGAGAGCAGCGCGGCCTGGATCSGTGCCGGAGCCGCGTTGCAGCAGGGTGGTCGCTGCCTCGGGGAGGCTGTTCGAGTCATCAGACCTTTCTACTTGGCTTGCAGGAAAGGTGAAGATCCGTCACACGTTGGTGCCGCTGTTTTGGGATGTTTTTGTTGTATAAAAGTGCCTGCATGGGTACTAGCGGCCGCCTCTCCTGCTGGGTCCGGGGCCGGAGACCAGGCGTGTGTCGCGGTGGTAATTGCAGTGGCTTCCCGTTTTGCTGGGGACCTGGGGGCGAGGGAGGGCGACTCCAGCCCCAAACACGGAGATTAAGGAACTRGAGCTCTCTAATAATAATCGGACTTAGTGCTTCCAACTTCAAAGAGCTGCGCGGCCGCTAAGTCCCTAATCCCGGGAGCGCTCCGTTCACGAGTTGTTTTTGTGCGCGGCCGGGCTGGCGGGGCAGTGCGGGGTGACCCCCCCTTGGCTCGGGGCCGTGCAGGGAGCGGATGTGCTCCGGACGCCCGGAGCTGCTTCCCTCCGTGTGGATACTCCGACAGTGTGCCGGGGCCTCTGGGCCCGCTCTGTCCTTTGGGATAACTTGGAGCTGGAGCTGTGCCGGAGCCCCTGCAGCCTTGGCCTGCGTGGGCCTCGCTAACGTGATGTGGGTAGCGGGATCCTGCATCTCCATCGTGCCACAGGACCGACCAAATGGCAGCAGCGACGGCTGCCGGGATAGAGGCAGCTCCAGGAGCAGCACCTGGAGCACGATACCTCTTCAGCTCCCCGTGGTGCTGCCCCTTCCCACCAGGGCTGGGAATTCCCTTCTTCCTGGCAGGACACGGCCCTGGAGCGGYACCACCCTGCCCAGGTTACCTGGGCTCACGTAGTCTTCTGCAAAGGCCCTGTTCCCAGAGACTCTTTTTCCTTCTCCGGCAAATGTGGCTCTGCTTTTCCAGCAAAACCTCTTGGAGAAGCCATCCCAGGAGTTTGGCAGGGATGGCTCCGGGGGTCCCCTGGGAGCCCTCCAGCCTTGCGGGATGTGGATTCCCCTGGCTGGTGAGCACTGGCTCGTGCTCAAAGGCACGAGCCTCTGGTTTGTAAGGAAAATGAAGCCCCCCCCAAGACTGAAACACTGAGAATTAACCTCAAAATTACACTTGGCCTGAACTGGCAGAAATACTGAGTGTGAAACAGTCGCTTTTAATTTTCTCCATGCATGTGCTCTGCGAGGGCATGGGGCTGGCACAGGCGGAGGAATTTGAGGAGGCCTTTCCAGCTGCCAGCGTCTTCTCTTTTTGCCTTAGCAAACACTGGGACAYGGATGCCCAGAGGACCACCCAGTTAGAGAACTTACAGACTTCTCCTCCTCCTTTCTCCCACGCTGGCCCTTGTCACCGCAGCCCAGGGTGGAGAGGTTCTTCGTTCGGGCACTGTCACTTTTCCAGCCTTCTGGATGCTGAACAAATCCCTCTGCTGCCTGCACGAGCTGCAAAGTGCAGGGATTGGGTAAGGCAGCGAATCCTGGCTGCCTCCTGCCTCTTCTCAGGAGCGTTATCCCAGTTCCTAAGACCTTCATGGTGCTGAGGGCTGCTTCTCCTGCCCCAGCTCCATGCTGGCTCTGCTCCTCTTCGTGCTTGGGAATGTGGGATCCTTCCTGCTGCAGCTGCACTTGTGTGCCTGGGCCTGCCTGGCTCCGGGTCAGGCTCCCATAGGAAATGGGCCCCGGGCTGGTTCGTTCCCTTCCTGCACACGTGCAGCTTGCAGGGACCAAGTGCCGACAGCGTGCGGGAGACAACTCRGCTCCGGTCGCTTGAACCAAGGCAGCAACAAGTGCTCTGGGCCCTGGCCGTGTTGCTGGCCCAAAAGCAAATGCGACTTGTGCAGCACAGCTAGGTGCAATGGGTGCAGGAGAGGCCTCGGGATAAGCATTCCCTGCCAGGGCAGCAGGAGCGGGGCAGCCTTTCGCCTCTGCCCTGTGCTTCTGGAGGGAGGAAAACCCCCTCTTTCCTGGAAAGCAGCCCCTGCGTTCCTGCCTTCCCCGCTCCCTGGCTGCTTGTATCATGCTGCAAAAATCTGGCTGTAATTGTCTAATTATTAGGACCAAACAGGGGAAGATTCTCTGCAAAATGTCAAGCCCGCCTCCGTGGGCTGCTGCAGCGGGGGGAAGCGTGGAGCTGCGGGAAYGTGACCGGAGCAGCCGGCACTGCTGTGGGGGGCAGGAGGTGACACGAGCGGGAGCCCCCCCAGTGCCCAGAGCTTCCTTGTGCAGGCTCCAGGACGGAGCTGTGGGAACAGCTCACACGGAGAGCTGGGGTTGTCAAGTGCAGGCGGCTTCTGCCGATGGGCTCGCGGGATCCTCTTCATTTTACTGGTGTGGATTTGTTGGAGGCCAACAACCTCCGTGGATCCTCGGTCCCTGCGCTGGCCGGGGTCAGCGCTGGGCGCTCTCCCTTTGGCCTGGGGCATTTGACTCCCTCTTTGGCCGTGCAGACTCAGGCTGGGTGGGTGAAGGTACTCGCGTCCCTTTACCCACTTATTTTCTGCCTTTCTTTATTTGTTGTTGCGTGGCGCCGTACCTTATCTCCCCTGGGAGTGGTAACTCCCCTCTCCGGAGCTCCGGAGAGCTCGTGGCTTTTTGCAGGCGCCGAGGAAGCTCTGCCGA